ATAAACGTAGTACAGGAACAAAGCGAAGAAGCTGTTTATAAACGTGGTAGAGAAACAAAGCGAATTTCAAAATCAAACTACTTTAACTATTCTACTCTCTAAAAATTACTTATCCTACAAAAATGAACTTCTGTGTATTCAAAGTGTATAAAACTTGAATTTTTACGTGTGTGTATGTCTTTTATCTGCTCTTAAAAACTAGTAAACAACAAATTATGAAAGGAAAATGACCGAAAAAGGGAGAGAGAGAGAAGAGGAAAAAAAGTCTGGATGAGGTGTTCTCTTTCATGGAGTCAGCATAAAAGCTTGATTAATGAGTTCCTACTGTCGTGGCGGGAACATCTGTAAATAAGTGCCATAAAACCGATGGAAGATTCCTTTACTGTAAGCTATTTTCCAAAGCTGTGCTGAGTAAAAAAAAAAAAAAGTCACGTTTTTAAAAAAAGAAAACAGCACTAACGACCCCTTTTAACACCATTTCTAAATGCTAAGTATCAATGTATTTGATTTCCCTGAACTGAGCAGTAAATTTATTTAACAACTTTTCTCACATCAAGCTGATTTTTAACAGCTAAAAGTAATATATAACCTATACAAGTTGAAATTATGAGTCATAATTCCAATTCTGAAAGTTAGATTTGGAATTTCATGTCTCTGTACGATTAGGTCTCCCATGCGTTTTAAAATATTTCCCAGAATATACAACCATCAAGTTAAATCGTCTATTTACAAAATTCCACAGAATTAAATTATACTTGTTATGATAATGGTAAATATATTTCACTAATGTAATTTAGTTTGCTGAAATATAAGATGCCAATGAATATATATGAGAGCATGTAACAGATGTGACACATTCGATGGCAATACTGATGCTTTAGGACTTTGGGAGCATAACATCCCCAGGATTTATAACTTTATTTTTTATTTTGTTGCACTGCGTCACTGGCTTTCGCCCGGCATGGCCAAGTGGTTAGGGTGATCGACTCGCAATCTGTGAGTCGCGGGTTTGAATCCCCGTCACACCAAACATGCTCGCCCTTTCATCTGTGGGGGCGTTATAATGTGACGGTCAATCCCACTATTCGTAGCCCAAGAGTTGGCGGTGAGTGGTGATGACTAGTTGCCTTCCCTCTAGTCCGAAACTGCTAAATTAGGGACGGCTAGCGCAGATAGCCCTCGTGTAGCTTTGCGCGTAATCCATAACAAACAATCACTGGCTTTCCGTGTCGAACAAAATAATAAAAGCACACGAGTTCCGTCAGTAACATATACATTCTACATTGTAACAATCTCAAAACATAAAAACTGTCAGAAACCGGAAAGAGGAGGGGAGGTCACGGTCGAATGACCACAGACGTACAAACCAGTGTTTGCTGGCTAGATATTCTGACTAATCTTCATATACAATGCTGGCTTGATAAGTATACGGTTTCTACAACTATAAAACATTTAACTTTTTCATACGTTACGATAACCTCATATACAACACAGGTGGCGTAATATTGGTGGGCTGAACTTCCGGAAAAATAAACGAACCATAATATTAAGCATTTATCTGTCATGTAAATGTAGGAAGTAATGGAAAGAAATGGTAACCTGGTCTGGTTTTTTATGTTATTTTTGTATCTAGGGGATTCTTATTAGCTATTTATGGACATAAGTGAAATATGATAAGTTTTAATACGTTCATTATTATATCCTGTTAATGTCTACATTTTATCACAAAATAACATTAAATAACATTCACATTTTTATGAAAAGACAAAGCATGTTTTAATTGGAACATTTGACTAATCATTTTCCTTGTCCCCCCCCCCCCAATGGATGCTTTAAACATTCAAATGCGCAAAAGGAAAAGGCTTTGACATTTCTTTCTTTATTGAAAACATAGGAAATTAAATGTGGTTTTACTTCTTGCACAAGTCATTATAGTAAATGAATAACTACATTTTTACTAATAAGGCACTTTCACTCCCCTGTGAAAAAAACAGATGAGTAGAAATGTGAATATTTGAAACTAACCTATTCTCTTTATTATGGCTTTTTCATCCTTAATACTTAAAACTAGGAAAATAATGTTCTAACTTTCCTCATAATCATCTGTTTAGACCTTTCATACACAAAACTAGCAATGTACCTTTAGTTTTAGTTTAGTATAGTTGAAAGCTTTTTCTCTAATTAGAAATCTAGTCACATTTGGTTAAATAAAATAAGTGTCACGCATCAAAACATTGTGGAATTTAATATTAGAATATTTCGAATTTGGAGAAGCAGATTTTAGCAAAAATGTTGATTTTGTATAGACGATTAAATTAAGGCTTTCTTGAAAAAGTGATTCTGTACTTCCTGAAACGAGTGCTGGAGAAGTGTTTACTTAACAAAGTAATAAATGTACTGTTTTTAATACCATAGTATAAATGTGAGGCCAGTTTTACTGTCAGTGTAACAGTGTTTGAAACAGCTGTCTTCAAGAGGCTAACCCAATTTTTATTTGATTATAATTTATTTTGAAATTCCCATTTGAAATTATTTTATAGTTTTTTTAATTCTCTTTATATATGCCCAAACCAAAACGTTAAGAAACTTTCTCAGAGAATTCATTAAATACTTAAAGAACCTTGTTTATATATATATATATATATATAAGACTTCTAAAATTAAAACCTGATGCCTCAAACGTTTTGCTGACGATTCTAATTCCAAAATAAAATTTACACCGCAAACTCAGAGATGTTAAGAAATTACATTGGGAAGCACCAGGAATCCACCTGGTTCAAATAAGTGAAATCGTCAAAATTTACAGACTGTTCTTTTAATTCTTGTCCGCAGAATCAAAAACACCAGTGAATTTTACTTATAACATTCTGTCACCAGCTGTTGTTCCTTCAGAGTATGCATACCGTTCTTGCTGCGTATGTACATTTCATTCACATCTTTTTACCCCTCCTGCACGAAACGCACGCTGTGGGATCAATTTACTTCTAGCGCATGCACTCTCCTGCTCGAGAACCCCAAGAGATTTTATCTCCTACTTGGGTTAAAGCCAAAGGGATTTTTTTACGAGATTACAGTATGATCTCAAGCTACGAAAGTAAATTTAGTTCTATAGGTATTTTAATAGATTAAATACAAATAACTGTCAAAAATTTTGACTTTAAAAACAATTAGCTTTGTGAAGCAGCGAACTGTTGTTTCTCCTAAAATATATAATTTTAGTCGAAACGAAGGTTTAGAAACTATTTCTAATCTTAAAATTAGCACTAAAAATATTCACAATAAAACTGAACAAAATGTCATTGAAAACACGTTGGTTACTCTGACAAATTCAACAAAATGTCATTGAAAACACGTTGGTTACTCTGACAAATTCACAAAATGTCATTGAAAACACGTTGGTTACTCTGACAAATTCACAAAATGTCATTGAAAACACGTTGGTTACTCTACAAAATGTCATTGAAAACACGTTGGTTACTCTGACAAATTCAATTTGTGCCGAATTTATGTACACGTACTCTTGTCGTTTTAAACAGATATTGAATATACAGAGAACAAACTCATTATTTCATGTTTTGTAGAATTTGTTAATTTTAACTCTATAGAAACTTGCAGGTACCTTTGTTTGAATGAACATCTATGAATTACGATATTCTACTTACTACTGTATACTGTTTATACAAATAATTTTAGTCCAAGAGAATAATATATTCCAAAATAAGCGTTGCCTATCAGCGACAGATGTTTAATGTTAAAGTTAATCTTTAATAAAAAAGTCATTTGCGTTAGTTGCACAACTTATGCTTTGACCTAATATAAGTTTAAATATAGGCTGCGGAAAAGTAATATAATATCACCTACTTTCAATTTTATATGCCTACAAATTTATACAGAAAAATTTATTCTAGAGGTGCTAATTATTTTCATTTATTTACTTTGAAGAAAATACTTAATGACTGCAACACTTAACGTAAGCTTTAACGAAAATTGTGATACATAAGGAATAGTTCATAGTCAATGATTACACAAAAATGTCAATAACTATTGAAACAACCAATCAGTTACAATGTTGTAAACCAAGCGCCAAAAACTGATGGTGATATGTAAATATGGTATTTATTAATTCTAGTTTAACAGAATATTTTTCAAAAAATCCATAAAACGATCTACTTAATGTAAACTGTTACATCAAGTAAATTCTTACTACATAATAATTCAAATCTTATCACGTAATTATAAATACAAGTAGGACAAAGTTAAAATAAGTACAGAAAACTGAACAGCACGCTTGTTTACAGTCCATATGTTTATCTACGAATTAGGAACACACTTCACATAAAATAATACATTTATAAATAAATATGATACCGTATTCAAATTACTGACTAAGAGATTTCACGTGAAAAATACAACATATGTGAAACAGTCAAGCTTAAGATAATTGTTACAAAAACCTATTTTACTTGAGTAAGGAAGCACATTAAGCTAATATAATAACAGATTGGCAAACAACGATTTATAAGCTTAAGGAAGAATTTTATTGATGGTGGAACATACTACATGTTTCGACAAAACATTGGTCTGTCTTCTTCAGATATGATCATTTCCGTCACAGTTAATATCTGTCTCTTTTGTTTTTGTAACGAGAAATAAACATTATATTGCTTAGTACTGATTATACCTGAAGAAGACAGACCAATGTTCTTTCGAAACATGTAGTATGTTCCATATCAGTAAAATTCTTCCTTCTGCTTATAAATCGTTCTTTGCCTACCTATAAATCTGCTTTAAGTTTTAACTAATAATACATCGTCAATTTTTACTGAAATTCCTCTTCTTTTTAAATCAGAAGAAGTAAAATATAATAATTACGTGAGGCTACTTAAACATATAGATTGTGTTCTGTAGCTTAGGTAGTTTTAAGAATGAAAATGTATATGTAATTTGATGAAATGGAATCGTTTTCTGATGTCAATGTAAATAATACTTTGCTGACTCACCCATCGAACTTTCTTCAGAAAGATCACTCAGAGAAGGCACTTTTTGCATGGATCCAAGGGATCTAGGCACACAAGAATCATCATTGATCACTTCCCGTTTAATAGCATGTGGTGGAATCATAATGTGGGCATTGCAATCACGCGGAACATAGTCCATCTCAAATTTTATCTGAAAAAAAAAAGAGGATATAAATCTATATATTTACGTCACACAAAGTTGCCTCTTGGCATAAATTTAAAGACAAAGTGCACTTCAATTTAAGATAAAAAATAACTTGTTTTTTTCGAATATTCACGCAACGCTAACCAGGGCTACCTGCCCTATCTGTCCCTAATTTTGAATGGATAAAACAGAGAAAAGACAGCTAGTAAACATCAAGCACTGCCGCCAAATTTCGGGCTCCTCTAATTTAACTGGGGGGCTTAACCGCCTCATCATACCGCACTCATGGCCACAAAGGGCAGAGCGCTTTTTTGTTGTTGTTTTATAGCGGTAACGATGTGCAAACCATGGACTCTAGGATCTACAATACGGAATGCTAACCACTAGCCACGCTTGGCCTCATTAATAATCACAACAAGAATTATGAACATTTTGTTACCCTTATGAAATATATTATCTTTAGTAGCCTCGTTACTACACATTGATTATATATATATATATGAAAAATGTTTTCTTTATACAGCAAAAAATCCCTTCTCATGATACCTATTTCGAACTGGCAGAAAACAAAGTAATATAAAAGTGGGTAATCCATTTCTTTAGGCTTTCGAAAACATTCATTATCATAAGCCTGTCAATATGTCCTTAATTCTTTTTTTTATCTTACAATTAAATATCTCGACTAAGTCATTCTCAAAATCAACTTATTCTGCGTCCGAACTTACACAAAAAATAAAAATAATAAACAATTAGTCTGATAATACAATTTCTAGGTCTATGTGCAGAAATCATTATTCACAGCATGTTGTAATTCACTACACTAGTCAATATCTCTATTGTTAAAGCTACTATTTTAAACAACTCTTCATTCCTGAGAAATCCAATTTACATAGATCAGTATGACATATCTTAATAAGGTTGATCAAATATAGTATTTCTTTATACAGAACAAACTAATTTCGAGCTTTAACCAATATATTGTAGTTTTCATTTTGGTTCCAATAATAATTATTTTTTATCTTGTAAGTTCAAGAGCACGAATACTTTTATATATCTAAGTGCACATTTGCTGATTTCAGAAAATTTGATAAAGATCTAAACGAAGTATATCTTTGGCAATAACAATTTGTTCTGATTCTAAATTCATGTTTATTAGAGGTTTCGCGAAATGAATGTGAAACGATTAGAGTATTTAATACTTACGTAGCTTTATTCTCGTAACAATTTAGCATTTAATAAAACACTTTTACTTTGTTTCTCTTCACAGAAATACGGTTTGGTGATTGTATGCGAATTGAATTTCTTGACTGCTCTCATTTTCTTACTTGATGTTTTGGTAACAAATATTTTCATTGTATTAGAAACAACAAATCACAAGCCAAAACCGTTACTAACAATGAAGAGTATAAAAAGGGTTTTTTTTTTCACGTCTTTTTTTATAAACATGTGACAAAGTGACCTCAGGAGCTTTATTTTTCACAGTTACCTAGTCATTCTACAAAATAATTCCAAAATGAATTGCATAAAGTATTTTAGCAAAAATGACATTTTGTTGTCACAAGCACGGAAATCAAATAAAACCTAGTGGTACTAATGTCTAATAGAAATCAGTTGTTTCTGATTATATATAAGAAAATTATAATATGTTAAAATTCATTGTCTTAACGGGCCTGGCATGGTTTGTGGTTATGGCACTCACAATCTGCGGGTCGAAAACTCAAATTCTGTCACCGAACATACTCGCCCTTTCAGCCTTAGTGGCATTATAATGTAACGGTAAATCTCACTTTTCGTTGATAAAAGAGCAAGTAGCCCAAGAGTTGGCAGTGAATGGTGTTGACTAACTGCCCTCTCTCTAGTCTTCCACTTTTAAATTAGGGATGACTAGCACAGTTAGCCCTCGAGTTACTTTGCGCAAAATTCCAAAAACCAAACAAACACCTCTTTAATAGATTTGTACGATTAATCAAATTAATACAAAATAATACACAAGCAAGTAGAAATAAGTTTCACGTCTTATACCAAGCCATGACATTACTGACTAGGAACATATAGCAATAGCCTACTCACTAATTAGCATCGAGGGCGTTTTATTAGGGCTTTTATTTTTGATGTTACATTTCAATGATCACCAAACATCGAAGAAGCAATGTTAATATTAATAACATACTATTAGACCTATAATAATGGCTGGAGACGGTTTAAATGGGTAATGAAGAAAAACTCACACACATTCAATGGCGTTCTTAATTAAAGTGTCAAAGTTGGATTAGTCTTAAGAGCACCTTTTCTGCAAATAGTATCATATTCATATGACATGAAAATATCTGAATAGCTTTTATCTTCGTTTTGGTAAAACATACGATTTCAGAAATTTGTCAGCTATTTTCTGTGTGTGTGTGTGTATGCAGACCTGGATAAATACATTTAAACATCTATCTACCTGTTTTATAAATATATAAAGCATACTTATGATTTTATTATTTTACACACTTCATATAAGTTTGTTTACTGGATTACTGTGAAGCACTTCAGGCTTCCTTCTCTCAGGACAAATTTCTTGAGAACAGCACAATCAAAGAATTAACCAGAACTGTACATATTAAGAATGAAACAGAACTTCATAGGTTAAGAATCAAACAGAGCTATACACGTTAAGAATAACAAACAACTGTAGACGTTAAGAATAAAGCAGAGCTATACACGTTAAGAATAACAAACAACTGTAGACGTTAAGAATGAAACAGAGCTATACAGTTAAGAATAACAAACAACTGTAGACGTTAAGAATCAAACAGAGCTATACACGTTAAGAATAACAAACAACTGTAGACGTTAAGAATCAAACAGAGCTGTACACGTTAAGAATAACAAACAACTGTAGACATTAAGAATCAAACAGAGCTATACACGTTAAGAATAACAAACAACTGTAGACGTTAAGAATCAAACAGAGCTATACACGTTAAGAATAAAAAACAACTGTAGACGTTAAGAATCAAACAGAACTGTACACGTCAAGAATGAAACAGAACTTCATAGGTTAAGAATCAAACAGAGCTATACACGTTAAGAATAACAAACAACTGTAAACGTTAAGAATCAAATAGAACTGTGGACGCTAAGAATAAAGAGAGAACAGTACATGTTAAGAATAAAAAAAAGAATTATACATATTAAGAATATAAAATAATCGTAGACTTTAAGAATCAAACAGAAGTGTCGATGTTAAGAATAAAGAGAGAAACGCACACGTTAAAAATGAAACGTAAGTCTATAGGGACTTAAAAACATTCTCCTATTGGTCAGTAGCCAGCTGAAGGACATTATAGTCTACCTGGTGTGGTGATACATGATATGATATAGAGAATGACAACACAAGCTAAATCGTAGAGTACTTTGGCCACGTGTTTTGAGCCAAACTGGCACTTATTCAGAACCAATAATATATTTAGAATCAGTATAATAATACTGAAAAAAAAGAAACATATGGTATATTCCCATACATAAATACGCTGAGTTCACTTCGTTACCGTTGTATTAACACGGATAATATGATGCTGTTAATTGAAATGTTAAGTAATTATTTGATTATTATTAAACACATTAATATCTTGAATAAATCTACTCATAACAATGCATCTGTACGTCAATACCGTTTGTTTATGCATTCTTTACTGCTTATGTCACACCACCAAATGGGTGTGGTTATTGTGTTCTTTTTAAGCACAGATGGCCTCCATGAGTAAGAAAGCAAGTATTTAAGTTTATTAACATTCATCTACATGGACGACAAGCATACTTCAGTACAAGAAGCTTAAGAATAACGACAGAACGAAACGTTTATAATCAACTTCTGTTTCTGATAATGTTTATTTGTATAATCAAATATTAGTAATCTATAAATTTCTTTCATTTACGAAGAGAAACAGTTGGTAACATATTTTATGGCTTCAAATGTGCCAGAAAGCAGAAGAAAAATAAGAAGATTAATTAATGTACTCTTCTTTAAATTAAATGATATACTAGTAAGTTTGTTGAATTTCGCGCAAAGCTGTTCGAAAGCTATCTGCGCTAGCCATCCCTAAATTTGAAGTGATATACTAGAGGGAAGGCAACTAGGCAACACCAGCCACCGCCAACTCTTGAGCTTCTCTTTATCAATGAATAATTGGATTGAACTTCACATTGTAACGCCCTCACGGCTAAAAGGGTGAGCATGTTCGGCGACGGGGTTTGATCGCACGATTCGCAGATTGCGAGTCAAGCGCCCTAACTACCGAGCCATGCCAGGCCAATATATAATAATAAAACGAGAGCTTAATATATTAACAAATGCAGATTAAAAACTTACATATGCAGCTAAGCAACTCTTTGCTTTGAAATATTATTAGAAATGAATATTTATTTTACAGTGTTTTACTAACCTTGTGAATTACTCTAAAAGTACCGATCTTAGCGATCGCGAGGCCCGAAAGAATCAGGGTAATCAGAATATATTAAGAACTAAGAAGCTTCGCGCTAAATAGGGTTTAGTTTTGTTTAAAACAATAACAACTAAGATTAATATTGGGTTCATTTTAAGGGATTAAAAATCTAATAGCAAAATAAAAATAAGCATATTATATTTGTCTGGAATAGCCCGAGGCCTCACGCAGTCACTTGTCTAACAGGTACTGACTGTAGTTTTTGTATATCAAACTTGGCCTTGACATATTATTGTTTCCTGTACATGTTGGTTGGGTTACTCCTGAGGGTGACACCACATTCACGTAAAGGTTGTAGTTGTTGGTTAGGTGCATGCGCTAGTATCTCTCGAACTCATTGAAATGTAACAGACTTTCATTTTCAGTTGAAAGAAAATCGTGTTGTTACAGTTTAAAGTATTATACCATCTTTAATAGTGTAATACATTTTGAAGGACTTGTAAAGTCACACTTATAGACGTACATTAATTGATACAGGAACCAATAAAACTTTATGACTCAGATAAATCAAGCGATTCA